AGGCAGCGAGCTCGTGGCTCAATGGTTAGGGCGTTCGACTCTGATCAAAGAGGTCGTGAGTTCGAGGCTGGGATGGGACATCAAATGAGTCTGAGTATGACAGACTGACGACGACAAATGAGCCAGAAATGGTCATCCCAGTCTCCCTTATCTTTGTCGGCAGTATTATCGGCCCATACTGCCAGCTGTTACGGTTGTCAAGGCCTCGGGCGAAACCCAAGGCAGAGCCCAGCTGTTACGACTGTCAGGGCCTCGGGCGAAACCCAAGGCAGAGCGGGACAGATAAGTTCCGTTAGTGGTCAAGTGAACGTTTATCAAGGAGTACTGGTAACTGTGACAGTTGCCGAACTAGTAAATTGTGCGACGCAGACGTGCGGCCGGACTCAGTTGGCAGAGCGAAAGGACTCGCTCATCAACATTAAATAGCACAGATCTCGGGGATAAATGGCGATCAACTTGAAGAACTTGACAGCTTTAAATACCTCGAAGCTGAGGATGAACGAAGACTGGGGTATTTTACCACCGATGCCTGAGGACGATCCTACGAGTAAAGTATATCGTCTTCAGCTCGAATGAGACAGTCCACCCTTGCTGCGATAGTATCGCGAGGATATCTCAGGTTATTCAAGAAAGACTACTGATGTTGTTTGGGCACGTCCTCCGTCGACCGTTTCACATCCCACGAACTCGACACCATCCGTTAGAACACGAAAGCAGTTCTTTGACCTTCTACCTTCGGTCTCCATCGTTGGAGAAGAGACTTGGTGGAGCTTTCCAGATCCGCTGCCGTCAATCATCACGCGTGGAGGGGTACAGTGCGTGATATCATTGAGGTTGGTTAGATAACGGCCGTAACAAGTAGAAGTAAGTAGTACAAGCATAGTTTCTACCTCGAGGTAGTTCCACCTACGATAAGGTAACTACAATCGCAGAGATTCAGGACAGTCCGAATACATCTGGTCTCAACGCGAAAAAGACCCTAAAATCAACCTGCTAAGTGAACGGTGTGTGCTGGCATAACATGGCCGAAAAGACACTCAGTTGGGAAAACAGGTAGATAAGGAAGAAAACAACAACAAAAAGGACCAAGGAATTAAAAAGCGCATACTTTTGCTGTTTTGAAGATCTTGTGTTCCACCTTTGCAA